AATATCAGGACATCTCACCCTGCACCCCTAACAGGCACAGGATGACTTACACATAAGAGGGATATGGGTGCTGAGACAGGGGTCTCCCCACCTCTCCAAAGTGAGCTGGGTTCCATGGGCCCCGCACCCAAAAGCCCACCCCAACTTCTCACCCCTCCACCATTTGCATCCCTTCCCAACTTCTCACCCCTCCCCCATACACATCCCTCCCAGCTTCTCACCCCTCCCCCATACACATCCCTCCCAGCTTCTCACCCCTCCCCCATACACATCCCTCCCAGCTTCTCACCCCTCCCCCATACACATCCCTCCCAGCTTCTCACCCCTCCCCCATACACATCCCTCCTCAACTTCTCATCCCTCCCCATATACAATAATCCCCATCTTCTCCCCTCTCCCCCCATTCACATCCCTCCCAGCTTCTCACCCCTCCCCCATACATATCCCTCCCAGCATCTCACCCCTCCCCCATACATATCCCTCCCAGCATCTCACCCCTCCCCCATACATATCCCTCCCAGCATCTCACCCCGCTCCCATACATACCTGGTGTCTCTCCTGTTATTCTGTCTCAGACACATCAGAGGAACATGGTGGGAGATCGGCCTGAATGTCCTTCCTAGGAGGGAATACCAGAGCCATTCTGAGGCCCATTTAATGGCCGGCAATGAGGAGGAAACCAACACTGAGAAGTAGATGCTGAGATATATACAGCACGGAGCAGCACAGTGGCTGAGTGGTTAGCACTTCCAACTGGCAGTACTCGGGTTGTTGGTTCAAATCCCAACCATGGCACCACCTGCCTGGAGTTTGCATGTTCTCCCTGTGCCTGCATAGGTTTCGTCCGGGTACTCCTGTTTCCTCCTACTCTACAAAGACATGCTGGAGGTGAATTGTTTCCTAAGTTGTCCCTAGTATGTGTATGTATGTGTCAGGAATGGACTGGCCAGCAATGGTGGGACTCACCTGCCTTTTGATCTGCAGTACCAGGGCTGGCCAGCGGGTGCTCCCAGCAATCAGAGACTCAACCTTTCAGCCAGCTAACACCTGGAACTGATGATACTGGTGTATTTAAGGGATGGCCAGACTTGCAGACTCTGCCTTGGTGTTGTGTTTGTCCTGGGCCCTGTATCTGTCCTGCATCCTGTTTCTGTTCCTTTGCTGACCCTGCCTGATCTGAACCGCTGCTGACTTCTCCTGTTCTGATCCCTGGCTTGTGACCCTGACCATCCCTCTGCCTGACCCTCTGTACTACGCTGCTTGCTACCTGCTGAACCTGGCCTGTGACCCCGACCCATCTCCGCTTGCTCCCCCTGTACCTACCTGCCCTATTGATATTGACCCGGCCTGCCTGACGACGCTTGCATTGTATGTACTGTTATCTGTGGGTGGTTGGTTTGGTTCGTTTGCACTGTGTTATGTTTTAGTATTGCACTGCGTTTATGTTTGTATTGTTAGTGTTAATAAATTATATTGTTTATCACATATCTGAAGTCTGCGTTTCCCTGCGTCAGTCACACACCTCTGGTCACACCTGGGAGCCCTGACATTACACCAAGGCCCATCCTGACCAGAAGTGGCTGCACAGGGAAGCCATCTCGGCTTGTTGATGGGAAGGATGGATCTGGATGAGGTTGTGTATTTATATCTGCTAGTGTTTGATGACAGGGAGTATGCTTATCAGACTCTGAGGGAGTATCCCCGGGATCAACTGCTAGAATGTATACGGCTCGCTCATGTTCTAGTAGATCAGGGCACAGAATTCTCTGAGGTGCAGCCATTGATTCAGGTTTGTGCTGAGTTGGTTTCATCTGGTACCCCCGAATGCAGGGATGAATTTTTGCCACCATTTAGTGCAGACCAGGTAGAGTCCCTGGTGTGGTTATTAGAGGATGATGTGGGTTACTTTCTGGAGCGTTATTCCACATGTTCACCACAGGTACTAAGAGATTGTATAAACGCAGTGCAGTCTTTGGTCAGACAGGCTTTGTGTAAGCTCAGCTTTGTTCAACCCATACTGCAGACATGGACAGACTTGTTGCACCCAGCCTCAGTCAGCTTACAAAGACCCAGTCCTGCTTCTAACTCTACTCCTGTATTCCCACCAGCTCCTCCAGTTACAGCCCAGTATACTTGGCTATCTACCGCATGTCAGTCCCCTGTTCCCACTCGCTGCACCTATCCTGCCTTTAACCCTGTAAAAAAGTCCTCTGTAGCAACTGCTCCCTCCCCTGTTCCATCCTCCAGTTCTTCTCTGTCTCCAGCTGCTCCATTCGTTTGCAGACCTGCGTTTACTTGCAGTGCTCCAGTAGTTAAAACCAGAAAAAAGCGAAAATTCTTTCCAACCAATACCATCCTGCCAGTATCCAAACCGGTGAGCCTGCCTTCCGTGGTTCAGCCTGAATCCTCTACGCGGCCTGAAGCCTCTACTCGGCCTGAAGCCTCTACTCGGCCTGAAGCCTGAAGCCTCTACTCAGCCGGACGCCGGCATTCAGCCTGATGCCTCTACCCAGAATGATGAACTGATCCAGCCTGACGATCCTATTAGGCCAGTTGACTCGATGCCCGCTGTTGATCCAGATGATCCGGTACCTGATCCGGTGCCCGCTATCGTGCCAATTGACTCAGAGCCCGCTGTCGTACCTGGTGACTCGACTCGATGACGCGGTGCCCGCTGGCGACTGCCTTGCCTGGTGACCAGATGACCCGATGCCCGGTGCCCGATCTGGCGAGCCAAATGACAATGGTATGCCTGGTGACCCAGGGCCCGCTGTCATACCTGGTGACCCCCATGCCCGCTGTCGAGCCAGACGATCCAATGCCTGGTGACCCGGTGCCCGCTGTCAAGCCAGACAATCCGGTACCTGATGACCCGATGCCCACTGTCGTGCCTGTTGACTCGGCGGTGCCCGCTGTCGAGCCAAATGACCTGATGCCTGGTGACCCAGCCCACTGCCTTGCCAGATGACGCGGTGCTCGCTGTCGAGCCAAATGACTTGATGCCTGGTGACCCGATGCCCGCTGTCCAGCCAGACGATCCAATGTCTGACCCAGTGCCAGCGGTCATGCCAGTTGACTCGGAGCCCACTGTCGTGCCTGGTGACTCGGTGCCCGCCGCTTTGCCTGGGGGCCTGAGACCTGTCGCTCCGCCTGGGGGTCCGGCGCCCGCCGCTCCGCCTGGGGGTCCGGCGCCTGCCGCCCCGCCTGGGGGCCTGAGACCTGTCGCTCCGCCTGGGGGCCCGAGACCTGTCGCTCCACCTGGGGGTCCGGCGCCCGCCGGTCCGCCTAAGTGCCCGAGACCTGTCGCTCCATCTGGGGGTCCGGCGCCCGCCGCTCCGCCTAAGTGCCCGAGACCTGTCGCTCCATCTGGGGGTCCGCGCCCGCCGCCCCCCCCCCTGGGGGCCCCATGCCTGTCACCCCGCCCGGGGGCCCGGGCCCGGGCCCGGGGGCCCGGCGCCCGCCGCCCGGGGGCCCGCTGCCCGTTGCCCCGCCCGGGGGCCCGGTGCCTGCTGCTCCACCCGGGGGCCCGGTGCCTGCTGCTCCGCCTGGTGGCCCGCTGCCTGCTGCTTTGCCTGGTAATCCGATGTGCCTCTGCCCGGAGTCCTGCCCGATGTGCCTCTGCCCGGAGTCCAGCCCGATGTGCCTCTGCCCGGAGTCCAGCCCGATGTGCCTCTGCCCGGAGTCCAGCCCGATGTGCCTCTGCCCGGAGTCCAGCCCGATGTGCCTCTGCCCGGAGTCCAGCCCGATGTGCCTCTGCCCGGAGTCCTGCCCGATGTGCCTCTGCCCGGAGTCCAGCCCGATGTGCCTCTGCCCGGAGTCCAGCCCGATGTGCCTCTGCCCGGAGTCCAGCCCGGTGTGCCGCTGCCCGGAGTCCTGCCCGGTGTCCTGCCCGGTGTGCCAGTCTTTGATATCCCGCCAGTTACCAGACCCGGGAGGTGGAAACATTTTGCCCAGCTAGGACTGTTTGGAGCGTCCTGAGGCCGCTCCTTGAGGGGGGGGGTACTGTTAGGAATGGACTGGCCAGCAATGGTGGGACTCACCTGCCTTTTGATCTGCAGTACCAGGGCTGGCCAGCGGGTGCTCCCAGCAATCAGAGACTCAACTTTGCAGCCAGCCAAACACCTGGAACTGATGATACTGGTGTATTTAAGGGATGGCCAGACTTGCAGACTCTGCCTTGGTGTTGTGTTTGTCCTGGGCCCTGTATCTGTCCTGCATCCTGTTTCTGTTCCTTTGCTGACCCTGCCTGATCTGAACCGCTGCTGACTTCTTCTGCTCTGATCCCGGCTCGCTCCTGACCATCCCTCTGCCTGACCCTCTGTACCACGCTGCTTGCTACCTGTTCTGATCCCTGGCTTGTGACCCTGACCATCCCTCTGCCTGACCCTCTGTACTACGCTGCTAGCTACCTGCTGAACCTGGCCTGTGACCCCGACCATTCTCCGCTTGCTCCCCCTGTACCTACCTGCCCTATTGATATTGACCCGGCCTGCCTGACGACGCTCGCATTGTATGTACTGTCATCTGTGGGTGGTTGGTTTGGTTTGTTTGCACTGTATTATGTTTTAGTATTTGCACTGCGTTTATGTTTGTATGGTTAGTGTTAATAAATTATATTGTTTATCCCATATCTGAAGTCTGCGTTTCCCTGCGTCAGTCACACACCTCTGGTCACACCTGGGAGCCCTGACAGTATGAATGTGAGTTAGGGCCCTTAGATTGTACGCTTCTCGGGGGCGGGGACTGATGGGAATTATTATTATTATTATTATACAGGATTTATATGGCGGCAGAAGGTTTGCTCAGCGCTGTACATTATAGTGGGGACAGAACATGAGACAATACAGTAACAATACAATACACGAGGGGTGCGAGGGCCCTGATCCTGGGAGCTTACAATCTAGGAGGGAGGGGAGAGTGGTACAGGAGGAAGTGGCTGTGGGGGATGGAGTGGTAGGAGGAGTGGAGGAGATCGGCTGTTAGGTAAGGGTGGGGTAGGCTTCCCTGAAGAGATGGGTTTTCTGGGTGCGCCTAAAGGTGAGGAGGGTAGGTGACAGTCTGATGGATTGGGGTAGTGAGTTCCAGAGGATGGGGGAAGTCCTGGAGAAGTCCTGCAGTCGGGCGTGGGAGGTGGAGACCAGGGAGCTAGAAAGTAGGAGGTCTTGTGAGGAGCGAAGAGTACGGGTTGGGTGGTATTTGGGTATCAGGTCGGTGAGGTAGTTTGGGGCGGAGTTATTTGAATGGCTTTGTATGTCAATGTTAGGAGTTTGAATTTAAATGCGTTGGGCAATCGGGAGCCAGTGGAGGGAATGACAGAGGGGGGTGGAGCCAGTGGAGGGAATGACAGAGGGGGGTGGAGGACACTGAGTGGAGCCAGTGGAGGGAATGACAGAGGGGGGTGGAGGACACTGAATGGAGGACAGTGGAGGGAATGACAGAGGGGGGTGGAGGACACTGAATGGAGGTCAGTGGAGGGAATGACAGGGAATGACAGAGGGGGGTGGAGGACACTGAGTGGAGGCCAGTGGAGGGAATGACAGAGGGGGGTGGAGGACACTGAATGGAGGTCAGTGGAGGGAATGACAGAGGGGGGTGGCAGAAGCAGAGCGGTTGGTGAGGTGGATGAGTCTGGTCGCTGAGTTCAGGATAGACTGAAGCGGGGATAGTCTGTGATGAGGGAGGCCGGTGAGGAGGGAGTTGCAGTAGTCCAGACGTGAGATAATAAGGGAGGTGAACGAGTAGTTTAGTAGTGTCTGGGGTCAGGAATGAACGTATTTTGGAGATGTTGCGGAGGTGGAGCCTGCATGAGTTTGCCAACGATTGGACATGGGGTTGGAAGGATAGGTTTGAGTCCAGGGTGACACCCAGGACTTTGGCTTGTGGGGTGGGACTGATGGTGGCGTTGTTAGTCATGATGGAGAGTATGGGGGGGGGGCACGGGCTGGGGGGAAAATCAGGAGCTCGGTTTTGGAAAGGTTCAATTTGAGGAAATGGAGCAACATCCAGTTTGATATGTCGTTCAGTAGGTGGGTGATACGGGCAGAGACTGAAGGGGTGAGGGGGGGAGAGGTAGATTTGTGTACCATGGGCATAGAGGTGATAGTTGAAGCCGTGGGAGTGTATCAGTTTGCCAAGGGAGGAGGTGTAGATGGGGCCCGAGGACAGAGCCTTGAGGGACCCCAACAGAGAGGGGGAGGTGGTAGTGTTATAGGTAACGCTGAAGGAGCGCTGGGATAGATAGGAGAACCAGGAGAGGGCGGGAGTCTCTGATGCCAAAGGAGTGCAGTTTATTAAGGAGAAGAGGGGTGGTTGACTGTGTCGAAGGCCGCAGAAAGGTCGAGGAGTAGGAGGACTGAGTGGTGGCCATTAGCTTTAGGTTAGCAGGTCGGTGATTTGAGTAAGGCGGTTTCGGTGGAGTGTAGGGCGGGTTCGGTGGAGTGTAGGGGGTTTCGGTGGAGTGTAGGGGACGGAAGCCGGACTGTAGGGGATCGAGGAGGTTGTTGTCAGTGAGGTGGGTGTTAGGCGATCCTAGACTAAGCGCTCAAGGAGCTTGGAAGTAAATGGCAGCAGGGAGATGGGTCTGAGGTTGTTCAGGTCGGTGGGGTCCAGGGAGGGTTTTTTGAGTATGGGGGTGATGTGCACATGCTTTAGGGGGGAGGGGAATGCGCCAGTAGAGAGGGAGAGATTGAAGATGTGGGTGAGGGAGCGTAGGATGGAGGGGGAGGGTGACCGGAGGAGTTGTGTGGGGACAGGGTCAAGGAATGTACAATATAGATGTAAACTGACGGCGCTATATAAGTACCTGGAATAAATAATAATAATACACCCAGATCATCGATGACGACGACGAGGAGGAAGGTTCGGTCACAGATGATTGGTCCGTCTATAGCAGGGACAGGAGCCGGGACCAGGAATAGGAGATCCACCTGACTTACCCGTGTGCTCTGACATGGAGAAGATCCCATGCTGGCCCTATGGTGGCCGTGTGTTCAGGATGGAGACCGACAATCACAGGACCTTCTGGAAGCCGATCTAAAATGGCTGAGAGGAAAAAAAGTGTTCCCGGACAGGAAGTGACACCAACAGGAAGTGACAGACAGGAAGTGACTCCAGACAGATTTATACAGAGGGTGCAGTATGGAGAGCAGACACTAGATGGTGCTGGTCCAAAAAAAACTGAATAGCATAAAACAGGGAAAGCCATCAAGTTATCTCATTACAGTGGATTAGATCTTTGTCCTCCATTTGTTGTAGCCCACCTTCCTTCCTCTGGCAGCCATTTTTCCTTGGTCTGATATCGGCCACACAGTTTTCACATTAGTCTAATTAGATATTTGTCCTCCATTTTGTTGTAGCCTTCCTTCCTCCAGGGCCATTTTCCCTTAGTCATATCAATTACATCACATTTGCAGTGGATTAGATCTTTGTCCTCCATTTTGTTGTAGCCCGCCTGTCCCTCCTCCGGCGGCCATTTTCCCTTAGTCTGATATGAATGCTGGCACATTTTGTCCCCTGATATTAGACATTAGCCGGGTGATTGTATACACACAGCGGGCAGATCTCAATCAATGTCACCCACTAGTCTATACTGTCACGGGGTTGGCCAGCCAATCATGTGGCTCCTATTCTGTCCTTCCAATGACCATTCCTAGTACATAGGACTCATCTTCCATACTACATTCATGATACAACAAGATGGAAACTCCCAATATACAGAGAAAATCTCCCATAAAATACATAGAAATCACATCTGCCCTAAAGGGCCATAAACATAAGAAGATTGCCCCCGACGCCCCCAGATTCATCACAATACTAGCCAAGGTGTCATTGGTCCCCCTAATACACGGATAGTACCCCAATCCTGCATTCATACATGTGACAATACACCATGATTCCTCCCGCTCTATATTATGTCTCCATACAAATCAGTCAGTCGCCATCCAATCCATCCATCTCACAAAAGCTCCAATACCCAGCAAATGTTTCCGTCTCCTCCTAGTAATAACCATGTGATCTCCATGAGAATAAAGCGCCAATTTGTGTCCTTATCCCCTCCCCCTACGCAGGATGTACACCCCTTCATGGCCACGCCTCTTTATGTAACTGACAATTGCGCGGTCGTGCAACGCTGCACCCAAACTAAATATCCGTCCTTTCTTCACACAAATAGAGCTTTCTGTCGGTGGGATGTCATCACCTGTGCGCTTTTTATTTTTCACGCCATAAACAAAAAAAGACCAAAAATTTTGAAGAAAAACAATATTTTGTACTTTCGGCTATAAAATATATAAAAGTAAACCT